AGATCGCGAGCAGCGTGGCTCCGGCCTGGATTACTGTTTGGGGGTTCAGCAATAAGGGGTTTAGGGTTGCACTTCAGGGAAGGCGTCTCAAGGCCCTTTGAAGGCGAACCTCTTTCAGGGAGCGATGCGGCTTTACTGAGATCCTTCTCGCACCATCGGTACAACCTGAGTGGCGCACCGTTTCGGCCAGGTATGAAAAAGGAGTTTCATGAGCGGAAGTATCGCGTCGTCCAGGGGCAGCTCTGGCGCCAGGAACCCTTGAGTATCGCATCTTGTGGTGTCGTGCAGACTTAAGCGCCCCCGAGCAGTCGTTGGTTGATGTGTCGACTAGAAGAGGGCAGATTGGGCCTTTGAAGGTTCTGTGCTTCCATTACTGTCGGTCCCAGTCTTGCCATAAACAGGACGTTCGCGACTTTGTGTCCCTCACAGAGCAGAAGATGTCCCTCTATCTCATCATTAATGTTGGGGCCCTGGAGGATGCAGAAGGGGATGTAACGGAAGCCCCGGGCAGAAGTCCACACAAGTGTCGCTTCGCCGGCCGCTTGGCTTCGAGGTTCTGCTGCTCAGCTTCACGGTGACGATGTGGGTCGAAGGTCAGCTGCCAGAAACCACTCCGGACTGGCTGGTCATGGGCACGCCCCCCTGCAGCAGTGCAGAGTGGAAGAAGCAGATTCGGCAGACGCAAAGGCTATCAAATTGCCTCCGTGGTTGCCTTCTCCTACCTGGTGCTGACGATTTGGCACTTGCCTCGGCTTCTTGCAGTCCCTGCGCACCAGAATCATCACTTTGAGCAGCCTCCAGCTTCCTGAGGCTCGCCATGCATGCGGCTATCGCTGCACAGAGCTATCAGACCAGGGTACTCACCCAATTGGCACCTGAGCAGCAAGGAAGTACCCTTCCAGAATAATGGCATCGCAGTGCAACTGCGATTCAAGCACAGCAGCAATCTTCCAGATGCTTCTTGAACTCGCTGATGCGCTTGGTCCTGCACCCAGGTGCGACTGCCAATTCCGACCTGGGCGGAGCTAGAGGTGCCTCTGGCCTTCTCCAGTTCTTTGTCATTCTTTGCAAGAAACACTCGAGCAAAGAAGGGTATGATGTATTAAATGTATGCAGTCCTACATATTTCATCTTTCTTCTATTCGATTGGATTAGCTGTGTGCCTGAGCAGGGATCAAAGCCGGAGCCACATTGCTTGATCGTGATGCAGGGCATCTGACTAATGATAACCAAACTCAGCAAAAGCATAGCAGGAATCCGCGATTCACAAGGTTTTTCGATTGACTCATCAGCAAGCACCAGCTGCTACATCATATTCGTTGAGGTGGCAAGTAACGATGCTAGCATGTGGCCGGTCGCAGAAAGGCATTTCTGCTCGGTGGCAAATGATATCATGATTCTTTCCTCCGACCACCACGTGTCAAGGCAGCCCGTACTGCGGGCTCAGAGTTCGAGAAAGTTGAGTCCAGGCGACCTGCCCGCAGCTGTTTTTGTGTTTGGCCGTAGAAACTTCCCGTTTTATGCTGTTGGCGCACGGTGACTCTGTGAAGTGCCTCTGAGTAAAAAGCCTGGTCGCGGTCGTGAAGTCAGACGGCCTAGTCAGCATGTCCACACCTTTTCAAGTTGGCATTTAGACAGAGTGCTTTTTAGCACAGTGCACCGTGCAAAAGTCTTGACATCGAGATGTGAAGAGATATCGAACTCAACTTGAGATTGATGGTGTCTGAGTCGGGGCATCCATCATGGGGAAGAGCCCGGTATTGTTGACGCTAGCGTTGCAGTTGCAGTCGTGCAGGCAGCGCCGTTACTTTAAGTGCAAGTCGGCAAGGAAGGTGCGGGCCAGGTCAGGAGGCACTTTTTGGTGGCAAGGTCTCAGAGAAAATCAATCAAGCAAACTGTAGCACTGTAGCAGCAAAGATCAGGCAGAGAGACGAGACAAAACAAAGGCAGAAAGGTGGCTGTCCCCTGTCTCGCTCTTCCTACAGCAATTGGTACACGCTTGTCACGCATCGATGGTGCAGGGCAGGGAGTCCCTCATTGCGTGCTTTGAGATGCCTTATTGCAAGGTTGCGAACGGGATGCTAGAATCTGCTAGAATGCTGCCTCCTGAAAGGTCTCGCCCTCTTCCCCTGCTGCACACAGGCATCAAAGCCAGAGACGTAACTGGTTTCGTTCCTCCTGCTAGCAGTTCAACAAGTGTGGAGCAAGAGAGCAAGACCATGGGCTTTTCCCGTCTGCTATAAATTTTTCACGTTCCTGCACAGACTTCTCTGATCTCGGACCCACTAAATATCAGAGTCAGCAGACAGATGTGTCGGGGCTGGCGAGGCAAATGTTCCGCGTGCCATTCGTCACAGGGAAGCAAGAGGACTTTGTTCCAGGAGCTCAGACCGGTTGTGCCAGCCGCCCTTACATCTTTACTCAGTGTGCACTCGCAGATGTTGGCCACACCAGAAACATGGTGAGAAATCGTGCTAGCCTGCACCACTCCACCTTGTTGCTGGCAGTACATCGCATTAATTAAGGGGGTGACGGTGACAGGACATGCCACATCTGCTGTTGATGACGTGTGCCCACCGGAAGAGTCTGGCAACACTGGCGGGCCAGAGCAGGCCTCGTGGCATGGGGAAAGCTAGTTTGACTGCTCCTGGGGGTGTCGGGCTGGGGGAATTTGCGAGTTTGGGCAAGGCTACAAACACACTTCTTGCAGAAGAGACCCCGTTTAGGACAGGCGACAGAGCCTGCATACTACACTAGGTTTCTACAAGTGACGACAGTTCTTTGACCGTACAAACAAGATCCTGCATGCGATTTCTGTGTCACCGTCACTAAGTTCAAGTTCTGTCGCACCACCACCACCACCACCACC